AGTCAGCTCTTCACCATCCTCTACCACAGAGCAAAATCTATAAACGGTGAGATAATTCAGGATCAGAGACGATAGATGGAGGGCTGAGGTGGACACTACTCTGAGCCGCGTGCCAGAGAGAGTATTGTCACTGAACATGTGCTGAATAGCCCTGAGTATCTGCTGTTTCAGAGAAGCTCAACAGCGCACCAGCCTGGATGAAGAGCTGCACAGGATCCCTCGTTACCAAGCAGCACGAAGTCCTGAAGAGAGAAGCAGAGTCACACCGTACAAAAACACGGGTGACAGAGACACTGCAATAACCTTTGTGTGATGAAATGCAAAGAACACGGGCAGTCATCCTAAACAAACAACACCATCCTGCAAAGAGCAGCAGTCCCTGCCATGCACACCTGATGAAATGGAAATGCACACGTTGGCCATCCAGAGCTCAGCTCTCCTAGCCTGACAGATGCCTCCCACCACAGGTACACATCTGTAGAGAAACAAACACAGAGACAGATGTTCATGTGTCTGCCTGTGGACACAACTTGTCGAGGCAAAAGGACCAAAATGATGAAAGACGTGATCACAAAACTCTCCAGACCTTTAAATTTTAGTTAGAAATCACATTAACGGCTGAGACTGTTGTGGTTCAGCCCAAGCTTCTCATGTGTAATATTGCAATATTGTAATTATTACAGTATTTTGTTGTCATGCAAAGTACTTTAGCATTTTAAGTGCATCTTTAACCAGAGACTGTGGCACTGATGACACCAGAATACTCAGAAAGTTGCCATTTTTACACGAGTACTAACTATTGCAACATTGTTACATTTGTTGTTGGTTCTCTTTTTTGTGTTTTTTTTTTGTAAAGTTGTAATGCATCTAAATATCAAGACCTTTGGGACAGTTTGTGCGTGCAGCAGCTTTCTTGCAGGGATCATGCATCTAACTAAGAGTAACACAACTTTCATCTTTGGTGTCAGCTTATCTTTACGCTCTGTGGCAGACTAAAGTAGTGCGACTCGTAATGGCCTTTACATTTGCATTGCTGCAGCTTTGTGTGTGCTCTGGCTGGTGTGATGTTGTTGAGTGGAGTCCTTCACTCATAGATTGGTGTGCAGACAGTTGTAACACCACAGTATTAACAGTCCTGCACTGACTCCAGCACCTCTGAGGCAGGTTAATACCAAATAATATCAAGTGAGTTTATCTGCAAAGTGCCTCAGTCTGAAGAATCGAGCAGATTCCAGTGAAATACTGACAGTGTTTTCTATTTCTTGCATACCACAGGTTACTGCAACAGTGTTTGAGATCTAATGCTGGTGCATAATTAACATTTCTAACAGTGCATTACACTTCTGCGAAGCTTTACACAGTTTGGACAGAATAGCTGCATGCAGACGGTTTTAAAAGTAATGCAGTGATTTATATTTAAATACTATTATAATCTGTATTTTAACAGCTAATGGAAACAGAGGATATGCGGTAATTTACCAAATATACAAACTCTGCTGCATATTTAACTGAAACATTCCTGAAATCCTTGAAACTGATGTGAAGTTATTT